ATAACTGTGATCCGGCCCCGGGGTACCATGCAGTAGTAGGGGGTGTTCTCCTCTCTGTAAGAGGCAGACGGCTCGGCCCAATCGCTCCCCTTCTCAGCTGCATGAGAAAGTCTCGCCTCTTGTAGGCGGCTGTTTCTTTCTTCTGAGCCCGGAGAAGCGTGGCCAGAAGAACTGGAGTCGGACTCGTCCTCTGACGAGTCCGAAGAGGACGACTCCTCCCCTCTCCCAGAGGGGCCCGCCTCCTCTCCCTTAGAAGGAGGAGAAGAAAAGTTAGACATGTCAATGGTGAGGTGGGAAGGGACCACCTTGGCCCCCCCCTCCGAACTCTCGGCTTGGCAGCCGCTTTGTTTCATTTCTACATCTGGCGCCTGGTCAGATGTCTCGCTGATGGGCACCCTTTGGGAGGAGCCATCCGAATTTGAGATCCTAGCAGTCTGTTTTGTTCTGGCCATCACGTTCTGCATAGACACAGATACAGTCGGACTTTGTATAAAGGGCAAAGATGGGTCCAGAAAAGGGCAGGCGGCACTCCTAGTCCTAGATTCAGCCGTCCCCGGTGACCGGCTGATCGCTAACTTAGGGCGTGTCGTGTGCTTCCATGGTGCCATTTCAAAAAATAATAAATAAGAAAAAAGTTAAGAGTAAGAGAACCGACGGTTACCTGAACGAGTGTTGGTTGAAGAAATTCTGAAATCCTTTGCAAACGGCTTGTCAGGGCAGGCGGTAGGCAACAAGAGTCCAGAGTGTTAGAGCAAGTTCAGGGGTCCGAATGTTCTCGCAAAGTTCTCAAATGTGAAAATGACCAAAGTCAGCACTTCCTTATATAGGCAAAGTGAGAAGGCGAAGGGTCGCTTCCAAATTCAAAGTTTGGGCGGGAAAATCTCTCGGCCATCTGCAAGGTGACACCTGTAGCAGGCCGTCGCCTGTCACCATGCGACACCTGTCACAGGTGACATGTGACCAGTCACATGCCACCTGTGAGGGGCAAATGATTAGGGGATTTTTATCCACCAATCGCCGTCTGACAAGTGGACCAACCAGGTTCCGCCATGTGTCCTCCATGTGGGCCAATAGGAGCCTGCCACGTGTCAGTCACAGATATGTCCTCTACGGACCAATTGAGACACACCACGTGTCTACCCATGCCAAATGGGAAAATCGGCCACCAAGGCCCAATCCTGTTATGAGGCCCAGTCAGCCCTAGGTTTACCCTAAACCTAAGACTGGCACGCTTCCCGAGGTTATAAATACCTCTCTTAATCCTCATTAAGAGGGGACAGACAGAAGTTAACTCGAATAACAGAGATTACTCACATTAAACACTCTCACCTAGAGAGACCTAGTCACCTTTATTTCCGCGTTTATTACTCCTTAATCAGGTACTAACTTGATCGTTGGAGGCGGAGCTCCTACCACAAGGAGTCTTCGTTGTTTTGCAGGTACAGGCGTCCGGTTCCAGTCTCGGTGTTGTAACCTCTCCCGCAGGACATCAGAAAACCCCGAAACACCTTCCATGCAGATGATTTCTCTCTCCTACCTTCTATGAGGAAAATTGGTACCGCATACAAACAAATTCATACAAGAAATTTACACAAATAGCAAGTAATTTGAAAACCCCAAATCGATTTTTGGGGTTTTTACGTGCGATTTTCCGCAAAATTCTCAAGCAACTCCGCAACAAAAGCATAAAAACGGGGTTGTTGGGTTTCTGGGTTGATTTGGTGGAGTTGGATTGTTCGTCCTCGTCGTCTTCTTCGGTGCCATTAGAGTAGCTTCGAATGAGATCTATTGAAGAAGAAGATGAAGAAAATGGGTTACTTGTAAAATGGGTTAACTGTTGAGGGGTTACTAGTAGTATTAGTTACTTGAAATTAAGAAAAATTTATAATATGAGTTGAAATTAGGGGTTACTTTTGTTCAATATATATATATATATATATATATATATATATATATATATATATATATATATATATATATATATATATATATATATATATATATATATATAAAATAAACAGGGGTTACTTATAATATGGGTTACTTGAAATTAGAGGTTACTTGAAATTAGGAGTTACTTATAATATGAGTTACTTGAAATTAGGGGTTATTTATAATAGGGGTTACTCGTAATTAGGGGTTACTTGAAATTGTGCGTGAGTGACAGACTCCGTTATGCGCGTCAGACTCCGTTATTTTCTCTGAGTTGGCAGCAGGCCACACGATGTGGCCTGATGCACCAAAAAGGTGTTGTTTACTTTTATCATTTAAAAAAATGATTAGGTTGTGAGTGGAGATATATTCACAAATTTATCTCAGAGATAAACTTGAATTTACCCTATCGAGTTTTGACATCTCTAATGAACATGTACATATGAGTTACAGAGTTAATCCTCTTCATGAGGAAATTTCTAATGTAAGAGTATGTATTAAGTTATTATACACTATGTAGATATCATAAAAAAAAAAACAAGTTATTTATCATTATAGATATGGTATGACCTATATACTATTAAACAATCTTCCGTCCCATAAAAAATAAATAAATAAATAATAAAAAAAAAAAAAAAGATGAAGTACTCACTACTTAGTAAGTTTTGACTTTCGAGTATATGATTTTCATATCTCTAACAATTACTTATCATGCTAAGCTACCTTGCTTACTCGGGAGCACAAGAACATGCTATGTTCATCTCTATATGAAAATTGGATGTCGGTTAGTTATAGAAGACTAGAAGAGGATAGCCCCAAATGTTTGGTAGAAGACGAGGTCATTTCCTTATTTGTCACCTAGTTGGTTGATAGTAAGTTGATATCCACTTCGCACGCAACCACATTAAACATTAGAAAACACTACATGATGTAATCTCATCTTCAAATTTGTGTTTATCTTCCTAAATAGTGTCCATTTTCGTCCAATGCTACCTTCGAATGGTAAAAGATGGTAGTGAACCAACATTGTCATGAGAATATTGTAACAAGTTCATACACAAAATTCATTTTTATTATGAAATAGATCATATAACTACGGACCGTCATACAGAGATTGACTATATATATAATCCCATGACCAAGCATCAAAATCTTGCAGAAGCTTCCTTAAGAAGAAAAATTACAAGAACAATTTTTACAGAATTAGCTAACCATCATGTGAAGAAATCCAATGCAACGTATCTCACCAAAATTGTACAAGTACGTCATTTTTACTTCATAAAAAACACACCACCAATTAATTCAGACACTTAACAACTAATCAAAAGTACACCATACCTTATCTTAACTTTTAACTTCATCATAAAGCCTTCAAAAATAAATCATCTTGGTCCGAAAATTCAATTTCTAAACAAAGTACACCTACTTATAAGAGAATCTCATAGTGCAAGAAAAGGCCAATTATTGAAGTTTCAATTAATAGGTTAAGTAATTAATTAACACCATGCAGCTACACAATCTACATCAATGCTATTTTTAACAAGATATTAATAATTGTGAATTGAATAGGCTTACCATATTGCTTGTAAAATTGGTCATCCAATTAGTCATTTGTTAAGCTCGCAAATAAACACCCATTGTTCTTCTCTATCGGTGCATATAATTAACATGGACAACACACCCCTAAATTACTAAGGCAAACTATCGTATAGTATGAACTATCGATCTATCCGAAAATGTCACCCTTGTTATGCTATACAACCGTCCAACACGAGAAATTACATATAGTATCGAGGAATATGTGAACCTTTTATATGGGCCATGACATATAATTTAATAGTATACTATGGTTAGTTACAGTCATTATCAAAAACAACCTATTGTAGGTTTTGAAAGGCCATAAAAGCACATGCAAGAGCTGGTAGTCGATGTACAAGCACATGCAAATTGTCCCTTACTCCCTTGTCAATAATAAACCTTCACAACCTGTCCATAATCAAACCTACATTGTCTTCTCTTCCCTACCTCAAATTTTACCGAACAACCCCACTTATTATTATTCTTCTTCCTTGTATTATTCTCCCTTTTGTTTATATCCTTTACATCTTATAATCAAATGGATCACCCAAAGAGTTATATCTTATATATGATTATCGTGTTGGCCTATATATATGGCGCTGTAATGTCTCTCCAAATTAATATATATATATATATATGGAGTAGCTCTTATATTCAGTTTTTAACACCTGCTAGATGAAAAGAAATAAATTTGACGGACTTTTACAAAGAGAAAGTGACGTACGTGCTCTAAAGTTTCTCAAAACAAGTAAGAACTAGTGACTAATGACCAATTTCTATCAATGTAACAAAATTGAAACATTCTAGCCAATACCGCACCCTTTGGTTTGAAACTAGTTGTAACACTGATAATGTCATCTATTGATCTGTGAAGTGAGCCAGTAATACAACAACTAAAAAAAAACAAGGAAATTATATAAATTTTAACACATATGTTGGTTGCTTGTGAAAAGTGATATATAGGTGAATACTTTGCTTAAGGGCTAGGTGCAAAGAGGAGCAAAGGTGGTGGGTACATATGGATAAGTTTCACTTTCAGCGCAAGCAGCAAATAAAGTGTGGACCAAAATAAAAAGGTTTAGAATCTGAGCTTGGTTGAGAAATGAAGACAAAGTATCTTCATACGATTTGGTAAGAAAGTGAGACCACATTAAAACCTTTTATACTTTAATTTCTGTAAAAGAAAAAAAAAGTACTTATATACTAAATTTTCAGGTCCAAACATTTTCGAGCTTGCTCCAGTTAATCTCAGTAAGAAACAATTTTTGTTTATCACATGGCAATTTTGTAAATATATCAATAATTTCATCCAATCACCATCAACTGTGAAGCCCACATTAATGAAAAAAGTTGTTGATATATTTACGAAAATGCCATGTGATAAACACAGTTTTTGTTTGTCACTGAGATAAACTTGTATTTTCTCAAAATATTCTAAGGAAAGTAACCTAAAAATTGAGGGAAAGAATTAAACTTAGAGACAAATAGACTGTTGCAAAATTCTCATGTTGCTCATCATTTCCACCAATAACCATTTTAGATCAAGAAAAAAAAGAGACAGAGATTATCTCTACAAGCTAAGTACAATTTAAGTTCTAATTAGTAAAAACCCGGATTAGCTAAACAGCTAATTGTCGCTGTGGTTGTTGTTGCTGTTGTTGATGAGATGTAGGCTCATCGTCGTTGAAACACGAATGAATTATCATAGTAGATGATTTACCCATGATTAACGACGAATTAGAATCGGGTACAACAACATTAACAGGAGGTTGTAGCAGCAACATTTCTCTTTGAAGGTAAGAACAGTAGGTATGAAATGTGTTGGGTGTCACATTTAAATGAAATCCCAAACCAAACAAGAAATCAACCTCTAGGAAGTTCATTTCTGTGATGGTTATACCTCCAATTTTGGCATAATATGCATTGTTGTAATACCTGTAAATTAAAGCATAAAATAAAGTTTAGATTAAAGTCAACAAAGACTAATTAAATGGATTAATTCAAATTAAATTTCAAATTTGAAATTATTACAATCCAAATTTATGCTTAATAGTGGGCCTCATTATTAAGTGACTCCCATGTGAAAGGATCATATAAAAGATTTTCTTCTAATTTAAAAAATTTAACTCATTTGAGAAAAAGACAGATTAATTTTAGCTGGAATTAGCTGTTCCAGCATTTCCCAATTTCTTACCAAAAAAAAAATTATGTTTTTACTACTAATTTCTAATTATAATTTCACAAAAAAAAAAAATCAGTTAATATTCAAAAAATTACCTGAATATATATAAATTTGGCATGTTATAATTAATCTTAATTATTTATTCCTGAAAAAATTGAAAACTAAATTGCAAAATCCTGATTTGAAAAACAAATTCAATTTGATAACAGAGAACCAATGGTTATAAACATTTAAAAACCACAAAACCATATTTCAATTTTGTATCAAAAACCCAGAATTTTGAGCACATAATGAAACCATTTATACATAAATTTCCAAAGAATAAAGGAATCAAAATAAATAAACAGAGTAAACCAAAATTGCACATTATACTAAGAAATTGAGAAACTTACATGTCATCCATGAATTTAGCAGAAATCATGACACTAGTGATCAACAAACGATGAACATTGTAAGAATTGATAGGCAACAACGGTTGTCGTTGCGTAAATCGATCGAGATAAACATAAGCAACAACAAAGCAAGAAGGGCTGCAATTTGCATACTTAAAAATCCTTTCTAAGTAACTTTGAATAGAGATTGTAGGGCGAGTAAGGCCATGGAAAACAGACACCTTCTGAGGCTCTAATCGTCGGGTGATATCGTTCGATTCCGCCACTCGTTGAAGGAGAGAAGAGAGGTAGGTGATCATCTTTGGTACTGAGTTTATGTTCTCTGTTTAAATTGTTAAGCAAAGACCCTTCTTCTTAGGGTTTTATATATGTCCACATAATATTTAATAATATAAAGTAACTAACCGGTAAGTTGGTTAAAAAGAGGAGTTTTTTTTTTTTTTCATTTAAAAAATTAAATAGTCCAAGAGGAAGGAGTGTTTGATACTCTAACAAGAGGTTATGCTCCTGTTTTTTAAATGACACGCTAATTTTCTCGCAAAGTTTTAGAAAAATTATACTGTATGTAGTGTGTTTTTTTAGAATTTATTATTAGGATATATGACGAGAAAAATAAATACTCCGTAATAAATAGAAGCGAGAATCAGGTCATGAGAAAAGACTAAGATAATACGAGTAATAATTCAAAATATAGTAGTGGGGACTAAAAAGGTGAGATGTATTTGAAAATAGTAAAAACATTTTTATAAAAGGAAATTTTATCACTCGATCAAATAAAAAGAAGGTTTAAGAAATTAAAATTACATCACTTTTAAAAAAAACAAGAGAGTAAAAACGTTGTTGGTGCGTACTATCTCTCTCACAACCGTAATAAAATGGAAATTTTTTATGGAATCATAACAATTTGAAAAGTTTTCAATTTGTTGAGATTAGTTAGTTTGGTTGTACTATGTGACATTTGTAATGGATGTGATTTTGATTTTTAAGTGTGTAATGATTTGCTTAATTCAAAAATTAACTTGTGAGAGAGGGAAAGAGAAAAGGTGGTAAGTGGATATGTGGATAGGATGATTAGCTAGAGAGTGGGTGATAACTTTAATTTGTTGTATGAAAAAAGTGTTTATTTAAATTTAGAGCATTTTTTGGTTTTTGATGGTGTGATTCTATTTATTCATACAATATAACATGACTATATTTATTTATGAGACATTACTATGTATAACCTATGTTGCATGTGATCTGAAATTCAAAACATTTTACAGAGTAATGCAAAAGAAAAGAATCATTTTTACATTCTATGACAGGAAGAAAATTATGTGTGTCAATCATGGAGGAAGAAGCATAATAATAACTACTAATAAGAACCCTCCAAAGAAAATAATTAAATAAGATAATGATATTACTAGCGGAATAATCCTCTCCTCAAGACAACTTTATTCCATTGGAAAATATGATGGTTTGTAATAAGGTGTCCTACATTGAAAATTTACAGATTTAGTTCCATCAGCTCTAATTTTATTTCAATACGCAATTTTACTCAAAATTAACCGTATTTTTAAGCAAATTTATAGTAGTAAGTATCATGGTATTCTTAAATTCGTCTTGTTTCATTGCGACTTTTTCAAATACCAATTTTTTTTTTATAATTTTACAAGTCTTGTTCTATAGCTAGTGTGGTATAAACTTTTCTAATATGATATGATATGACATCATCTTATCTTAAATAAGATAGGATAGATAGTTAATAATTCTTGCAATAACTCTATCGATTATGACATTACGTAAATAACAAACGTGTAAGCCATAAAACACCACTCATCCAAGCAAGTTAAAAACTAAAAACCATTCCATTCTCTTCTTTACATACAAATTACAAGATTTAGCAAACTTCATCATATAACACACCAAAAGTGGTAAAAATGAAGTGTAAATTTTGGATTAAAATGCATGTGATTACATGTGGGAGTAATTGTGACAACAAAATACAAGGGGTACGTACCTACACTTGTAAAGATACCAATTGCATGTGAAAGTACAGAATCTAACACGCTATTACATCAATTAGACCTCTATCATATAAACTTTGGACTAACCTTTAATTTTGTTATAAACATTTTCCCTTTATAATATTGATTAGCTAATGTTCTTGTATTATTATGCCTAATAATTAATCTTAATCATATATAATTAATTAATTAATTAAAGTGATCCAAAATATAATCACGTGACAAAGTATCTTTATAACTTAACACATGCATCTATGTTAATTAATTTAATTAAACTTAATTTAGGCTGATTTAGGAGCAGATTTCAGGTAGGCTGTCATGTTGGAAGATTAGGGAGGAAATATAAAGTGGTAATAATTGTAGAGTAATTAATTTAATTAATAAAAAAAATTTAATTTAAATTTAATTTACAATTAAGAATAAAAGGGTTATGTTATGTTTATAATTTCTGAAAAGTTTGTCCTCTTACAGAAGTACGTACAACTTGATGCCAATCCCAATTCAACAAGCATCGTCTGACAGTTACAGCTTATTTGTTGGGGATTGCTAACTGTACTGATGTACTCCCAAGTTTTTGCAATATAGTACTCATATTAATGTTGGATTAATAATAGCATTATATCATAATACGAATCACCTGTCACTTGTAAAATTACAATCTTTTGATATACAATATGGACTATATATGTATGTACTTGGTTATAAAGGGTAATGAGAAAATGAATCCAAGGGTAATTTTGAATTAAGAAATTAAAATTCCTACAACTTTAATGAAGATTAATTTTCTAAACGGCTTTTACCCTTCAACTTTCATGATCTAACACATTTTCGGTTGTTATCATGCACAAAGCTAGCTAAAATTATATCAACGCGTTTACATATATACTAGATTACTAGTATATCACTTGATGTCATGAACAATCACATACTAAATGCTACTGGTATTCAGTTGAGTGTGAAAACTTTATTCATGATTTACATTATATAACATATGCAGGTCACATAGTAATCTTAAGTACTATTTGCGTGTTTATCATATTATATATGCCAGCAGAGATCACTTGGTGTCATGGACAATCACGCACTAAATGCTATCGATATTCATTTGGTTATATATGTGTGAATCTCTATTCACGATTTACATTACACGGTATCCATAATAAGCATGCACATAGTTATTTACAGTAGCTTAGTATCCACGCGTTTATCATACCATGCAAGTAGATCATTTGGTGGCATGTTTGGCTTGTTACTCTTAAAGGTGGAGCTCATCCAGACAATCAAGCACTAAATGTTACTCGTATTCAGTTATGTGTGAAACTTTGTACATGATTTAATTTATATTACATTGCACCCAAAATAAGCATGGACGAATTGAAATAGTTGAACTATATTCCCACCGACCACCTTATTATACCAATTCATTGTAAATTAATCCGTAACAACGACTACTAAGTTATGAGTTACATATTTTACGATACAAATGCATCCTTTAGTAGCATTGACGGAAAATCACTTTTACCATTTAACTTAGAGTAATAATTTTGCTCAATATTTCTTACTTTGTAGACAATCATCCATCATATATCATATCATTTATAAATGGACGTAAAAGAATTCTTAAACATTTTCAATAATAATTAAAATTTGGAAGTTTGCAAACATTATGGTAGATATTTTGAGCAAAAATAACGTTACTATCACAATAATATTAATAGGGCCGAAGACGGGCCCATGCAGGCTTAGCTAATTTGTACGTTGTCTTGAGCTTCTTTTTATCCCTTTTTCATGAAGGCTACACTAACAGCTACTCTATTTTAGGATCTTGACTTTTGTCACTTCAACAATTATTTTGCACTGAAATAAAAAGATGTTGAAGTGATGGTTTATTTCCAGTAGGAAAAATTAATTAATCAATTATCTCAATATTGCTAAAACTAACATTGTCTTGAAAGGATTTATATAATCTTGTCTTTAACATCTTTAATCTTTTTCTTACAAGTACATTTTTATTTAAGATGTGACTTGGAAGAAAATTAAATTGATTTGAGGAATGTGTAAATATTAGGGGAATGTATCATTGTATGGGTAAGGTATCCGACACCATATGTATATGAAGTTTGATATTTAATTATTATCACAACTATTGTGAATTGAAGGATACATTACAATATATTTTAGATCCGACACTGATAATAATTTATTCCGTATTTCAAAATTACTTTGTATATAATTTGTAATAATATGCAATATTAATGAATCGTAATGTTCAATTCTATTACAATTTAAAATATATAATTTGTACTATTTTGGTCCGTGATTAGTTATAAAATTAAAAACAAATTAGTATCATAGGGCTACCTTTTTTATGATATATAGTAGGGACGCCAATAATAAGATTGATGAATGATTTGTTATGGTGTTATTAAAAATTGAATAACATCCACCAAAAATACTAAGAGTAATAATTGATGAGAAAAATACACGTTTTAAATAATAACAACTATTATGAAAGATACATAGTGACAACAAAATTCAGGAGGAAATAAAGAGTACACCAGGCCATATACAAGGAAAATAATAGAATTAATTTAAAAATCTATTTCGAAAAGTATTGTCAAGTCATTTTGAGTTCTATAATTTATTAATTTGAAACTTATTTTTCTTTCTATTGTTAGTACATCACTATCACATGTATAATAGTAGAGACTCATAAGGAATAATTACATAAGGGATAATGTAATACATACATGATAAAATTGAATTAGGGACTTTAGCTAGGGTTGTTACAAAATGTGATCGAGTTGGGTTTTGAAATACCACGAGAAAAGAGTAATTAGCTAGCTTAGATTATAATCTCACTAAATTTAATTTTAATTATGAGTAACTAGATTGCAAAAAAAAATAAAAACAAAAAAAGAAAGAAAGAAGAATTTATATTTTTAGAAAGAGTCGCAGCTTAATATGGAGGTTGACACCTAGTGGCATGGATCGCAAATCTCAACTATGTAGTTTGGCAACCCACCATGTAAGACGTGTGATTGTGAATTTTGTAATTACTAGCTACCATTATCATAGGTATCTTATTAAGATCACTAAAGATAATACAGTACTATTTTTTTTAGGTGTTATTATTTGAATTTTAGTGACATGAATGAGTTTACAATAATTGATGCCCCAAGATAATGAAAGATTTTTAATTCAGTTTTTTTTTTTTATAATTTTTTAAATAATCGATATACTGAATTACCGATACATTTGTGTGACCCCTATCTTGGAGAAAGACAAAAGGGCCATATTACGATGGACTCAAGAGTTGATTTGATTCTATCAATATGAACATGATGATTATTATGGTTATCCTTCGATCAATAACTATACAAGAATAATGGTTATTAATTAGTGTAGCAAAACATGTTATTGCTCATAATACGTACACAATTACTATACATTATAGATAATCACACCAACACATCAAATTAGGTATATCTTCACATCATCTGCGATGAAAGATGAAGTTAATTAGGTATATCTTCACAACTCACTCATATTGAACTTGAGGACTATACATCTATACTAATTCCAATTA